AATGGACTTTAAGTAGCTATTAGGTAGCAATGATTACAGTATCAGCACTTAGGCTGATGTGTAGCTGTTTGGGTAGTGATCTTGGGAAGGCACTATAATGTAGCTTCCTCTAAACCACTGCCAGATTAGCTTTGCAATAAATACATAAGGGTGATTTAGGTAGTTATGCCTGCTGTAATGCCACTCTGAAGAGAGACTGAGGTTTTAGTAGGCCAGTCTGAGTTACAGGTTTCTAGCAGTGCCCCAACAACTGTCTGCAGACCCTTCTTGGTATTATTAGGAGATGTTTTTTCCTTTAATAAACTGATTATTTAATAATGCTGTACCGGTAGGATTGTATTTAGTATTTCATGCCTGTGTTTAATCTGCAGGTGAGTGCAGAAGGAGTGTGAGGGCCCAAGGCAATGTTAGATTTAGCAGAAATTCTCTCTTCTTTCTAAATTCTCTAAACTTTTTGTAAACTTTTTTATGTAGAGTAGATGTAATATCTGACACACATGAAATGAAGATTGAGATCCATTTGCTGCACAAGTTTTCCATCTAATTAAGAGAAGTATAGTAAGTGAGACATCAGCTGAATAGAGAGAATAAACAATTTGTCTTTGAGTACTTTTTGCCATGCTTTTACTGGAATTGCAGTTTTAAATTTTTCAGGGAGGGGAAGGGGGTAGCTAGAATGCATCAGATGTTGGCCTGCTTTGCTTACTGTCTGTAAACATGTAAGTTTTGGTGGATTTGGAGCAAGCTAGACCTATGTGGGGCACATAGCTTTTCTTAATTTCTGAAGCTGAGGTGAAAGGAGACTGCTTGCAGTGTCCTTTAGGAAGTTTTAGTGGCTCTATTTTCTTAAAGTCTGTTGTGAATTAATTTAATCAGTGTGACTGACTTGCACTTTCTTGTGTTTTCAAATGGGACATTGCTCTTTCTAATGACCTTCCAACACCATTCTGAAATGTCACAAATGCATTGAAAGTTTATTCTGGAAAATGCCAGTAAGGCCAGGAATTGTGGGTAAGTCCAGGTGAGTTTTTTCTACTGTTCAGTAGGAGTTGTTTAAACTATTATGTAATTCTGTATTTCCAGGTTAAATGCAGAACCTGATGGATGACAAAAGCTACTGTAACCTCATCTGTGCTGAGACTCAGCGTGTGCAGGTGGCCAGGCCTTTCTGTGCTGACCCACTGGTCACCTTTCACGTGTACCCAGAAACCCCAAACCAGGCCACTTGCTCTGAAGATTTCTCATTCCTTCCTTTCATGTCTGAGCACCTCCTCGCAAAGAACTTCTACAGTGAGCCCTGCAGCTTTCCTTACCAAATGCCCCATGCCAGTTTCCACAGAAATGACTACTCCTATGGGCCAGCTTTCATCAGAAAGAGGAATGAGAGGGAGAGGCAGAGAGTTAAGTGTGTCAATGAAGGCTATGCTAAGCTGAGGCATCACCTGCCGAAGGAATACTTAGAGAAACGGCTCAGCAAAGTAGAGACACTCCGTGCTGCAATAAAATACATTAGGTACCTACAGTCTGTTCTGTACAGTGATTCTGTGATGGCAGGAAAAAGTGTTGTGGAGCCAAGCCAAGCACCCAAAGCAATTAACAAACAAAACCAGTTTTTGAAGACCATCTAAAGTTTTCCAAACCAAGCAAAAGGTACCTGTCTGGGAACATAGGAGTCATGGTATAAATGTCGTGTATGTTCCTGGCATATCTCAGGAGCAGATCATAGCACATGGCAGTATCAGCCCACACAAGAGTTTTAATTTTTCAGATAGTAACTACATTTAGGTAGGAAAAAGCCAGCTGGGAAAATCTCATCTGAATGGAGTAAGTTAATTAATTCATGAAAATCAGAAAACATTTCTAAAATTGTCACTAAGCTAAAAATGTAACACCTGTGTGTATGAAGCAACTATGTATTGTCACAGCCTGCATGCTTTAAAATAAAATCTTTCCACTGATGGAACTGAGATTCTTCTCATTTTCTGTAACGTCACTGGTTTACTCTCATGCGTTTTTTTAAAAGATTCAGTTTAATTGCCAATATTTCTCTTAAAGGCCTTTTAAAGGTTCCAAGGAGTGTTGTTAGATGCCAGCAGAAAAGATAACTTAGTTTAAAAGGGAGGAAATAGAGTAGGGAGGCAGCTCTCTGAAGCACAGTTACTGAACATAGGAGGAGCATAATGTTTAGCAAGTGCTGTTCCATTGTTTTCTTATTAATTAGTGTTTTCATCACATTGGAAACTGTTGACTTAGCCTAATTTCTGTTCTTTAGATGTCAGTGCCCTTAAAAATTACGAGGACTGTTCACACAATACACAGTGTAAAGAGGACTGGCAAGATCTTGGCCTTAGGGGAAAAAATAATCCTGCAACAGAAAGTTTTGAAGACTTTGACCCAATAATGGTTGAGGTCTGGAATGGTCTTCCCCAGCCTCCCAGGCTGTTTCACTGTACTACTGATGGTTTTGGCTAAGTGTTGTAGAATAACTTGATGTGAAGATGATGAAGAGAGTTTAGCTTATAACTGGTAAAGTGGTCTTAACATTAGCTCTATGTAAAATAATCATATAAGTGATATTAAACAGCAGTTCTGACATCATGAGAACATTTAGTCTGGGTGGAGCAGAATGTACAAAAAACAATGGTTACAGACTTCCTAAGTGCTGTATCCTTGTCCCTAAGTGCAGTCATCCCCTCTGTTACGTTGTTTTTGTAGCAGTGAATTGAAACATGCTTACAAAAGGCAGGTTAGTATTCCAAATACCACCCCCCCAAAAAAACCCCAAACAAACACAAACCCAACCAACCAAAATATCAAACAACAAATGTTAATTCCTTGCCTCTCTTTTAAGGAGAAAATGAGGATTAGGGATCACAGCAGAGATCAACGGTTATGTTTCTGCATTATATTCTGGCATGTTTTTGATAGGCACTTTGTAGGAAATGGGTATAATTCATTCATCCTTCCCCCTTAGTGAAAGGAGAAAGTTGTAAAGTGATTTGACCTCGGTTTGTCTCAGATTCAACCTTTCTGTCCACATTTAAAACCAATTTATGTGTCACACCCTGTGCTGGTGGGCTTTTGCTCCTAAATCCAAACTGTTTTTTGGCCTGCAATAGTAGGCAGAAGGCCTGGGGGACACTGTGCTCTCTTATATTCCCTTCTCTGCCCTTGCAGTTGTTCAATGCAGTATCTAGATCCACTGGGAGCTGACAGTTAAGTGAAATGTGTGGCAGACAAACAGTCCTCTCTGTAGTCAGGTTCCACTGGGTTTTAGCCAGTAAGGTCAGGATGTCCAAGCCTGGAAGTAACAACTGTGGCAACCTCTCTAACAACTGGGAAACACTGGCAGCAAATGGCTCCCTGTGTCCAACAGGCAAAGAGTCCACCACTTGTAGTGTTACCAGTAGCTGGTAAGTTTGAAACACTGCTGTGTCAAAGTACTTGGAGTTATCCAGAGAAAAACATCTTAGAGTATAGTACAATTGCCTTTGTCAGTACCTTGTTTTGTCCAGAAATAAGAGTCCCTGCTCTCAGCAGTAACAGTGCTGAATGCTTTAAAATGTACTTTAATGTAGAAGTGATAGTTGCTTTTCTTTGCACTGTCACTGATTCCATCTTGCTTTGGTTTGCTATAGGGGAGTTTGTGTAGTTCTAAAATAAGTGGATATATTGTGTCAATTTACTGACTTAAAGATGCATTTTTGCAGCAGTTAATCTACTCTTCTTGCTGGGTTTGCTGTGCCAGTTTTCTGAAATGACATGTATCTGGGAGTCTCCATAAAAAAGACTCCCAGATCACATTTTGGGGTAAAAGACAAAATACCATCTGAACATAAGTGCTTAAACTGCATTTTGCAAAATAAATTAGGCACTTAACATTTATATGTTGTAGAATTTCCATGCAAATTTTAGCCTAAGCACGCTAAATGTTTGTAAGCAATGTTAAAGCAAAAAATAAAAATGAATGGAAGTTTGTTTACTACATGTTTTGAAATTACCAGTGATAGCATCACATCATCAGTCTTTCTGTGACAGTCTGAATAGTTATCACTTGTCACACATCTGACCATCTCATTCTTCCTCATTGCAGTCCATAATCCTGCTGTTATACAACATGACAGGACAGCTGAAAGATCAAAATATTTTGTCTTAATACATGGCAATAAACAAGTAACAGGCGGCTGTAATCTAACATCATGTTCAAAAACTGTCACTTTTACTCAGCTTGTCAACTTCAGCTGTAATTTCTGTCTCAGCTAGTAAGACAGGGAAGGTTTGGCTGGGACTATGTACAAGAAAGATTTGAAGGAGAGTGTAGGTAAAAGAAAAAAGCTGGATGTTACAGAAGGAAACAAATGTTGGACAAAGGTGAAAGTTATTCCTTTCCTGGGGATTTTCACAGCATTTGTAGCTTCCCTGGGTGTTTCTGTCCCTCTGCCAGGTCGGGATTTGGTGACTGCAGACCACTGGTCAGTGTTGTGGGTTCACCTGGCCAAATGCCAGTCTGCATATTTTTACTTCAGTATTTTTAAATAAAAATAAGCAATTACTCAAAGTTCCTGAGTTCTTGAGGTACTCTAGAAAGCATTGGCTTGCATTATAAATAATATGTTGTCTCTGTTCTATCAACAGATCACAACCAAGTCCTGCAGGTAGTTGCTTTTGCAAGAATACCTTATTTGGAAGGGTTCCTGCCCACGGGTCATGGGGATTACAGTGCAAGACCAGCTCTGGTCAAGTTCTTGTGCTCCAGTGTCGTACTCGCTGTCAAGCCCTGCTGCAAGAGCTCTTAGAGTGTATCCCACCTGGATCACTGAGCCCCTCACCCCCCAGAGGTAACATCAAATTCCTGTTTGAGTCTGTGATTTGTTTTTTTCCGTGATATCTAGTAGGATAACCCAGATTGGTGTGTCAGATGAATATATTAGCAGCTTGAACACCATTTGAGCTTTCCTGCCCCTGCACTGGCAGTTTTTTAGATGATATTAGCTAAAGTAATTTGCTGCCTTGGAGACTATGAAAAGCAAATCCTGAGTAAATTTCCTATCAAATAAACATTCTTTTAATGTTATTTAGACAAATAAAAGCATCTTGTGTTAGCAGCTGTCTTTTGTGAAATGTTTCCAATGCTTTGTGACAGGGGATTATTTTCCCAGTTTTGAACCTGAACCTGTCATCACCCAACAGCTTCATTGTTTACTCTTCTGCTTTGCTGTTCTCTGAAAGCTTCAGTGCAAACCATTAGCTATAGCACTCTGAGCATACCTATGCTGTGCTCTGTGCTGGATCCATTATCCTGATCTTAAGGGTTGCATTGTCTTGCCACATCAACAGCAAAGGGACTAGGTAATGCTGGCCCAGGACTCCACCATACTCCTGGGTCACTTCCTATAAACCCCGCACCAAAAAAATCTGGGTAAAAATAGGCACTGATGTTTTATTCCTAAGATCAAGGAATTGTCCCAGCACAAGCAAGTTTTCTGTTTCTTCCCACATGCTTTGGCCTGCAGGAGTGCTGCAAAATGAGGTGGAGTGGTCCGGTTCTGAAATGTTACAAGATTTAATTTTTTTTGTGACCTACAGAAGCTGTTTTTCTCACTGCTGACACATTTCCTTTTCTTCAAGGTGCCAATGGACTAGCCACAGCCTCCCATCCCCTGTCCCAGCATGGAAGAAATTGGGGAGAGAGGGGAACAAGATGGATTTTATTACCATGGTACAGTGAAAGAGGAGATAGAGATGAATGATGGTTGCTGTCTGGTGGTCATGGGTATGTGTAATAGGGAGTAGTCCTCATGTACCACCTGAGTTTAGTGTAGCAGTTTTTGTTTCAGCTAGTGCATGAGTTAGAGAACAGATCACAAGGGCAGCTGGTGCTTACGGTTATATATGTATCTAAAACGGACATCAAGGCTCTGGAGTGAGTGCAGTGAAGGGCAACAAGGCTAGGAAAAGGCCTAGAACACATCTGATGAGGAAGGGCTGAGGGAATTGGGTTTGTTAAGCCTTGAGAAGAGGTTCAGGGGTGACCTCATGGTTCTCTACAGCTACCCAAAAGGGATTGTAGAGAGGTGGGGGATGGTGTCTCCTGCCATGCCTACAGGGAGAGGACTAGAGGGAATGGTCATAAGCTGAGACAGGGGAGAGTCAGATTAGATGTTAGGGTGGTCAGGAACTGGAATAAGTTGCCCAGGGAGGTGGTGGAGTCGCCATCCCTGGAAGCAGTTAAGAGGCATCTGGATCTGGCACTGGAGGATATGGTTTAGGGGTTACAGCAGAGTGACAGGTTAATGGCTGGACCTGATGATCTTAAGAGTTCTCCTCCAGCCTTGATGACTTGATGATTCTATATCAATTCATAAAGCTCTCAACATGCCTGATTCCAGGCTGTCCTCATCTCCTGCTGCCTGACATGCCATGTGAGCTTCTTGTGTGCAACACAGCCTCAGGCACCAACAAACTGACAATGACCAGAACTATGCTCTGCTCAGCCTTCTTTACTAAGTCCACTTCTAGTAGTGAGCAGGTGTGTTTTGGGGATCCTCATCTTGTGGAGAAAATGGGTGTCCTCCAAAATCCCAGTTCCTGC